AAATAATCCTGTTTTGCCAGAGCCTGTGTTGTGGAGACTTCACCAGCATGCCTCCCCAATGCTAAGACCTAATAAATTCATGCCTTTCACAGCCAGTCTTCCAGGTTATTTCTTTGGAATCAGCAAGCAATATGCTGAGGCCTTCTCAGACCTCAGCTCTTTCCATAACAAAGTGATTCGCCATAAAAGTGCTCCCAGTAATTACCTTTGAAAAGGGGAACTACAGTTGAGAAGGGATATGCAGGAGGTCTTCAGAGGCTAGCAGTGTTTTATTCCTTAACCTGATAAGGGGTTTACTTTATATAAAAAAATTAAACTGTACCATTATGTTCAATATACTTTTCTAATTGTTGCCTTGGGGGTAGAGTAACTGGCTCAGGGGCACACATGAAATAACAGATCAGTCCAGGCCAGATGCATCATCCCATGCTCCTAGAACAGTGGTTCTCAACCTTCCTAATGCCGCGACCTTTTAATACAGTTCCTCATGTTGTGGTGACCTTCAACCATAAAATTATTTTTGTTGCTACTTCATAACTGTAATTTTGCTACTGTTATGAATCGTAATGTAAATATCTGATATGCAGGATGTATTTTCATTGTTACAAATTGAACATAATTAAAGCATAGTGATTAATCACAAAAACAATATGTAATTATATATGTGTTTTCCGATGGTCTTAGGCGACCCCTGTGAAAGGGTCACACCTCCTACTGGGGATGTGCCCGCAACCAAGGTACATGCCCTTGGCCAGAATCGAACCTGGGACCTTTCAGTCCGCAGGCCGACACTCTATCCACTGAGCCAAACCGGTCAGGACAAGAATATGTAATTATATATGTGTTTTCTGATGGTCTTAGGTGACCTCTGTGAAAGGGTCGTTCGACCCCCAAAGGGGTCTCGACCCACAGGTTGAGAACCGCTGTCCTAGAAGGAAAGTTTCTCTCCTGTTTCTGCTCACTTGGAGCTTTTCCTTAATTTTTTTTCACTCATTAAGAAATTTCATTCAGCTGTGAGTAATAAAAACTAATGGAATAAGGTGAGGTTTTCATTTGCTCTCATCCAACAATAAATCTCTCAGTGAAGTCATTGCTGGTGTTGGATTTGTGATTGAAGGGGGAGAGGGAGTGCAGAAAAGGGGCACCAGACCTCTGTGATTGTCTAGCCCTTTTCCTCATGGCCCCAAACTGGGCCAGCATTAGGACATGTGGCACCTTTGTGAAAAATATAAAAAAGGTGCCATTCTTAGCAGTTGAAGTAAACAGGACTCATCCCACCTCTGGGTGAACAATTTACTGAAGGACACGCCCACCAACAAAATCAGGGTCTTATAGCTGTCTCCACCATACTCGCCTGTGAGTCTGGACATCTCAAGTGAACCTCATCACATAGTACTAAAATATAAAGCCAAGGATCTGAGTTCTAACGTAAAAATGACCACCACCCAAACCTACACCAATTGCTAAATATTAGTTAGAGGTCCATCTAGTGGCAAAACCTAGGCAATGCATCCCATGGGCTCAGAGAGTTCACTCCCATTGCAACTATCCTTGCAGAGGCTGGAACTGAGCTCTCCAGACACAGGTTCAGTCATGGCAGTGCCCCTAAGCTCTACAGCCCCAGGCTACAAAAATGTTAGTTTTACTGTGGTATCCGCTTTCATGCTTTGGTCAGTTTGCTTTCAGAGCCAAGAAAATTCACTTGGACCCACATTCACTCCCCTCATCCACAGGAAAAAAATCAGGAGAGTTTTCATTGCATACAAGTAAAGATGGGGCTGAGTGGGGGAAGAGAGAGCATAAAGCAGGTTAGCATCTGAATCAGTGTTCATACTTACAACTCACAGCAACCAAAGCCATAACAGTAAGGGATATGAGCAACAGGCATAGCAACTACATTTATAAAGTATGAATCAAACCACTACATTTATAACTGCCAGATTATTGTCTGTCTACACAATTGGTAAACTCAGGGAAGTGCAGTTTTTTCTCTCCTAGATCCACATCAATCCTTAAAAAGGACTTCAGAGAAGCCCTATGTCCACCCTCTGTGATTAGATTTTACCCTACTTCAGCGGTTCTCAACCTGTGGGTCGAAACCCCTTTGGCGGTTGAACGACCCTTTCACAGGGGTCGCCTAAGACCATCCTGCATATCAGATATTTACATTACGATTCATAACAGTAGCAACATTACAGTTATGAAGTAGCAACGAAAATAATTTTATGGTTGGGTCACAACATGAGGAACTGTATTTAAAGGGCCAGAAGGTTGAGAACCACTGCCCTACTTTCAAGCTAATAAGTTAGCCTATTGCTGTTTTTCACATGCTGCCAGAAGACAAGGGGTGGGTCAGAAACAAGAGACTTCATCAGCGTCTCTGCACTGGTCCTTCTCACCCCAGAGTCTCATGGGAGCAGCCAGGTGGCATAACCCAGAGGGATGCCACACAGGCAATATGTGTGCATGACAGCCAATGAACCCCAGCTTGGGAAATCCACTGCTTTTATAGCAAGCCTGCTCTTTGTCCAGGGAAGACAGTATCTGTTACCAGTTGCAAAAACAATCCTGAGAAATGGCTGAGATAACAGAACAGTGGGATCTTGCATTCTTGGCACACACCGCAGGACACATGAGAGCCCAAGAAGCCCAGGAGGACTCTCTCTTCCAAGCGACCACCTATGTTGTAACAGGATAGTAGAAGCTACGAAAATTCCTGGGCAAATGGAATAGGGAAACTGAGGCAAGAAAACTAAATAAGGCTAAACAGTTTGAGCAGCTTGCAACCAGCTTGCAGCAAGACCTTATTTTCCAACCAAAGACACTTGAGAGCAAATGATTAATACCTCTCCTCCGAAACCAGAGGATACACTGCTTAAATCAGCCTGGAACCGCCAAGGCAGGAGAGGGAAGAGAGGAAATTTTATCTCACTCACTGAACAAAGAAGTCAGTAGTCTTGGGACTTGCCAAATGTTCTCATAAATTCTAGGAAAAGCCATGACAAAGTAAAAGGGAGGACCCTGAAATCTAGTCTGTGCCCAACATATCCAGCAGAGGAACCTTGAAACTTATAGGAAGGAGGGTAACAAACCTCTTGAACCCCACTGGGCAACGCACTTGGGTTAGCTGAGTGCCCACCTGTGCTTTATGCCAGGTGGATTTTGATAGATTTACCTGCCTTACTTCTTTAATAAATTTGCTTGCTTTGCCTCCTTAGTAAATTAGCTTGCTTTACTACAATCCTGTTGTCACTCATTTGAATTATTTCTCAGGAACATGATAAGAACTGGGGAGGGGACCACCCTCTCCCTTCGATTCAGGGGGCTGTCCATAATATGTTTTCTGGTGTTTCTGGTGTCCCATAACAATGTGACTGGAAAGCCAGAGCCACATGATTAACCGCCCTACGAGAACCTTGTGGAATTGAAAAATGCAATTCCCCAAAGAGGAAGTGTAGGGATAAACAAAACATACCAACAAAAGCACTCTTGACCAGCCCGAAATTAACTGGAGTTGGATATTACCCAACCAATGTACTCACATGTACGCACAGGCAAATCCTACCAGGAAATGAAGTACCCACCACTTTCTCTTTTCCTGCTCTGGCTGTCTCCAGGAAGACCCTCTGCCCAGTTCTTGGCTCCTGCTGAGCTGTGGAAATGTGTCTCCTGAGGCCACAGAGGAGCAGCTGCTTCCGATGCCCAACGCACTCGAGTCTGAGAATTTTAAACTCGAGTTTTAAAGCCACAGGTGCCTACCCAGAAAAGAGGGAACACCTGCCTTTTTCTTTGTGTTAGTCCAGTGGTTCTCAACCTTGGCTGCACATTACAATCACCTGGGAATCTTTAAAATCCTGATTTCTGGGCCTCATCCTCCGGAAATTCTGTTTCTTTGTTATGGGGTGGGGCCACAACATTAGTAACAAAGAAACAGAATTTCTGGAGGATGAGGCCCAGAAATCAGGATTTTAAAAAGATTCCCAGGTGATTCTAATGTGCAGCCAAGGTTGAGAACCACTGTGTTAGTCCATTATACTTGACCCAAACACTATTCTTAGTATCGAGGTTACCACGGCTTTTAAGGAGCAGATTTTGCCAGTTTTACTCCTCTTTCTCAGGCACTCTCTCCTCCCTAAATTGAATGCAGATGTGTATGTGGAGGGGGTGGGGGGAGCAGGGAGGGCAGGCCTAGAGGCCCAATCCAGACAGACCTCCATGAGGGCCCCACTACCCTGAGGAGTTTCTCTTCTGGGAGATTTCCTAGCCCCTTTATAAGGATCCAGGCTGGTACTATAGCTTGTAAGAACTGCCCACACCTGAAAGGAGTGGACTTTAATTAGTGTTGAATTCAATCACCTTACTCTATATACATTTTTAGTATATCATCCCTCTTATTCTGCCTTCCTTTGTCTTTCCTTCCTCTATCAGCTCTTATTCCTTTTCTCCTTTCCTACATCTAATAGACAAACCCAAAGAGGAACGGATAAGGGAGTTGTCAGAGTTGGGAATTGTCAGGACTCGTGAAAACAAGCCATTTCAGTTCCCAATTGTCATCTCAAACTCTGAATTTAAAAAAAAAAATTCCTCCTGAGAAATTAAAACTCTCTGGCACAGATTCCCATGACTATTTGCAGACATACAGTGCCTTTGAGCCCTCCAGTGGTGGAACCCCATTGGTGTTACCTGTGATGAGGAACAAACACTCCACCTGGAGGCAAATAGCAGCAGGCTGAGGGTGGAGTGGACACTGCTGACTATACTGTATAGGACACGGACTTTAGGTGACCAGTTTTATCTGTACTCACTTCCCTATGTCTTTGTGACCAATGGATTAGGTTTCTAAGAAAGCTAGCAAAGATTAAGTACCCACAGAAGAAAGCAATGCCAAGCTTGGCCTGATTAGCACAATGAGCTATTCTCCAAACTTCAGTCTAACTCTAAAGCAGGAATGGCAAACAAGTTTTCCATTTTATTAGCAACACACAGTGACCAATACTGACTGCCTAGAGCAGGGGTCAGCCTTCTTCCATTTCTGTGAAGGGTCAGATAGTAAGTATTTCAGGCTTTTGGACCATATGGTTTCTGCCACTGGAATACAAAAGCAGCCATGAACAATATATAAACAAGGTTGTGTCCCAATAAAACTTTATAAAAACAGGTGGTGGGCTGGATAAGGCCCTCAGGGAGGAGTGCTGTAATCAATAAGCCTTGTCTGCACAGGTACTGTAAGTGGAACTATAGGTTCTAGATCAGTGGTCCACAAAGTGGGTTGTGCCTACTTCAGATTGTGTACATGATCCACTGAGACATGTGAAAAAAAATTTAGATTTTCTATGTATTTTTATCTTATCTGTTTTCATTTTAGACTATTGATCATATCTACCCCATCATGGATCCATGAAATTTGCAGTGAGTTAATTCTCCTGTAATGTGCTAATGAGAAATCAGGTTTACAAACCTCTGAAGAGGATGTCACAACAGACGTGCCCTGGAGTGGCAGTATCTGTCCGTTGCGTCTCCCTGAGGGTCTGGTGCCTTTTTAATTCCACAAAGGTACTGCGTAGGGTAGCAACAGCCACAGCTACATAACGCCTCTAGTAGGAAAGAATGGAAAAGAAAGAAAATACACAAAGTACAATAGATTCAAACTCTTCTGGGAGCAGAGATATCTTGTAAACACCCTATACAGTGTAGGGAGACTTTCCAGAGGGAACCCGAGTTTGAGTGCTGAATCCTTAGCACAAACCTCTAAGATAGTGGTTCTCAACCTTCCTAATGCCGCGACCCTTTAACACAGTTCCTCATGTTGTGGTGACCCCCAATTGCATTGTTACAAATTGAACATAATTAAAGCATAGTGATTAATCACAAAAACAATATGTAATTATATATATGGTCTTAGGCAAACCCTGTGAAAGGGTTGTTCGACCCCCAAAGGGGTCGCGACACACAGGTTGAGAACCACTGCTCTAAGAGTAAGGGCTGAAGCTGATGGTCTACCTTCTACTCATGGAGGTAAAGGGGCACAGGAACAGAAATTCTTTCTTTCCCCATCCCGGCTGCTCTCCCTTTCACACAGAGAAGAGGAGCTGGAAGAGGCCATCAAAGCTGTCACATTAACCCACACAGAAGCAAGTGATGAAGTAAGACTCTCCTGAGACCAGAGCCAGTTGTTGTCTTGTGGCTTCCTAGTACCCATTCCCCTTTCTCCTGGTAACAGCTCCCCACTTTCCCTATGGGAAATAAGTTCTGCCCCATAGTGCAAAGTCTCTGGAATTGCCAAACAAAACACCCCGCTGTCTATTGGCTAAACAGATGGTCACACAACTCAAGCTCAGCTAGTTGTGCTCTCCCTCTCCAGAGCTCTCTGTGATAGTCAAATTTATGTGTCAACTTGACTGGGACATGGGGTATCCAGATATTTGGTCAAACATTATTCTTTCTGTTGGATGAGATTAATATTTTAATCAATGGAGTAAAGCATGTTGTTCTACAAATGTGGGTGGATTTCCTCCTGAGTAGGACAGAATAGAACAAAAAGACCCTCCCTGAGTAGGAGAATTGTGCAGCTGCCTGCCTTTGGACTTCATCTGCAACATCAGTCCTTCCTGCCTGGCAGCCCTTGAACTGGAACATATGCTCTCCCTGGCTCTCCAACTCCAACCTGCAGCCTACCCTGCAGATTGGGTTTGTCAGCTCCATATTCATGTGAGTCAATTCCTTAAAACAAATCAATCTCTCTGTCTCTCTAGATGGGTAAGTAGGTAGGTAGATAGACAGACAGATAGGTAGATATAAGATACATATCCTATTGGTTCTGTTTTTCTCTGGAAAGCTCTAATACACTCACCCCCTGGGTTTTGATGGGTTAGTATAGACACTTAAAAATATAAGAATAGTTGAGAGCATTCATTCCAGCAGTGATGTCCTGATGAGACTGCCAGGAACCTAGCTCCTGCTACCTAAACCCCTCCAGAGATGTTCTCAGTCTTCCTAATAATATCTTCTTTTGTTTGCCACCAAAGTGGCCTGAGTGACACTAACATCCTCCCTTCAGAGACAGCTAGCTCTGCCCCTTCTCTGGGTCATCTTGGATAAGCCAGATGCCAGTCTTCCAGAAGGAGTGAGTGAAATGATCCTATGTAACTCTTGAGAGCTACTTCTTATGACTGCCCTAAGAAAAAACACCTGAGGTCCCACCAGTAGTCTTGTCTAATGTATTCACTTCAGGAGAATGAAGCAGGATCACCTGCACCAGAACAGCTTCTCACCCAGACGGCCTCCAAACCATCTTTTCTCCTCTCCTGCTTAAAACCTGAGAAGATACATTACAACGAGCACTACATTGCTTTCGCCTCATTATGACTTGTTTAATATTCATCACCAGAAGCCTTTTTGAGGCCCTTCCCCCAAGGCCACAGGATTTATTCTGGGATTAGATAGGACACAAGATGAAAGAAGCTGATGAGTAGCCAGACAGGGTTTCTCATCAGATAGCACCAGTTATTTAACACAACTGAAACTCTATCCTGCAGCAAGCAAGCATGCTATTTGCTCACCGTGGGGGTTTCAATGACTACCCATCGTTTACTTTCCCACTCCTGGCAAACTCTGGAGCCAGCTTGCATAATGCAGTGTCTTAAGAACATGATTCCAGTTGAAGAGAGCATATTTGCAGTTAAAAATAGAACTCAGTCACATAACCAATTCATACATAAATCGTGAGGCTGGGGGAGGGTCAACATTAAATAATAGTCACTGGGGGTTCCTGAACACCTGTCCCAATCATTCAGAGCCTGTGTTCTCTGGAAATTGCCAGCACACTGATGCCAGCCCTGCCTTGAAATCAAATGGTAAAAATAAACAACCTAACTGACCCAGTTAATCCAAGAAACATGAGTGTACCTTTAAGCAGACAGCAATTCAGGTGGCTTCTCCAGGCCAGGTCTCCTTGGGGATTTAGCTCTGTGTTCTAAAAGAATTAACTGTTGTAGATCCAGTGGCAGACATGCTGGGTTTATAGCTGGATTGAAAGCTGAGACTGAGTTAGGTTTCAATTCCATCCCCACTGATGCGTTTTCACTGTACATACATGTGTTATGCTCTGTACAGAATGCACCAAGGTCCCTTGCTTCTTCTAAACAGATGTGGGAGTCTCATGACCCACTGCTTGGGCTTGCAAAGGGCTAAGAATTACAAAAGAAAGTCCCTTAGTATGTGGTTTCCATACCAGAAAACACATTAAAACAGTAGTATAGATCTAATTGGAAAGGTTGTCTCAGATAAGAAATAGAAATTTCATGCCTGGGTACATATAGAGCTAAGCTGTCGGAACTATTGATTCTGTGACATGCTACCAGAAGAAGGGATGTGGAAGAAAATAAAGGAGCTGCCTCCTATCTTAACCCTGCCCCCACCAACCTTCCAACCAGGCAAATTGCTTCTCCTCTCTGTGCTTCTCTTCCCCTCTTAAAAATAGGTCTGCAACGTGTTTCCTTTCCAAGCTCACCACAATGGTAGGAGGTTTAATTTGGACACTTGTGTTAGTCTTTTGTTTCTGATTCTGAAATTCTAGAGCAATAATACCTCTGTGCTTCACAATCACCTGCGAAGCTTATAAAATTATAGTACCCAGGCCAAACCCCAAGATTCTTGAGTGGTGGGTTCCAGGCAGAGATAGATTAAAAAGTGCCCAGGTGATTCTAATGTGCAACCAGGAATGAGAACCATAAGCCATGATAGGAAAGGCTTCCCCAGGAAAGTGTAGCAGATCATGGTGTGGATTCTCCCACCACCTCATCCAAATCTTGAAAGGCTTTCCTTTCATGGGGTTGAATAAATTGTTTTGTTCCCAGACCTTCTCTCACCAACTTCCCCCACCCCTCTGCCAGCATCAATCAGCATAGGAATGAGCTAATTTTGGAAAGGTGGCTGGGGACTTTTTATTGTTTTTAACTGAAGCAAAACCCTAAGTAGCTCTTAACTGTATTATGGCCTTTATCTCAAAGTTTATCTTTTAGAATGTACACAGTATTGGAGCATTTGTAACCAACCAGAGGTTCTTACAATCCTCAGTCTGTGCTGCCTTCACACCAGCTGGTACATGTCACCCTCTGCTGTGCCATAGGTCATTATTAGCCAGGGATGCCTTCGTGTTAAGCACCCCATCCTATATAATAAAAGGCTAATATGCAAACTGACCGAACAGCAGAACGACCGGTTGCTATGATGTGCACTGACCACCAGGGGGCAGATGCTCAATGATCAATGCAGGAGCTTCCCCCTGGTGGTCAGTGAGCTTCCACAGGGGGAGCGCCACTCAGCCAGAAGCCCTGAGCTGGGCTCACAGGGAGCGGGCCTAAGCCATCAGTCAGATATCCCCCGAAGGCTCCCGGACTGCAAGAGGGCACAGGCCGGGCTGAGGGACCCCCCCACCCGAGTGCACGAATTTCGTGCACCGGGCCTCTAGTCCTCCTATAAAATGTGAATGATTCAGTGTAGAGGATCTGTAGTAAGTCCCTTGGTGAGGGACTTAATGTCTCAGTGTGGGCTAATTTGTCCCATGTTTTACTCTACTCCCTGCTCCCCACTAAGCTCCATGCCCCTCCTAACAGATGTCTTGTTGCTTTGCTCCGTGGGTTAGTTGTGTTTCTCACTGGAATAAGTTCTGAAGGACCTACTGTTCATCCTGTAACCTCCCACAGCCTATGCTTCGGTTTTTGTCCTTGAAAGCACCCTGTGTGCTTCTGCTGTTTTGAATCAGACATTTGGAAGGAGCTAGAAACCTTAAAGAGAAACCAAAGGACACAGCAAGATCATGGAGTGGACTGATTAAGAGCTAGGGAACGAAACCGGCCTGGATTTGAATTCTGTCTCCATCACTTACTAGCTATGCACGCTGGTATTACATACCTAACCTTTCTGAGCCTCAGTTTACTCATCTGTAAAATCAGTTTAGTTATAAAGTCTATATCATGGGATTGGCATGATGATTAAATGAGATGTGCCTGGCATCATGAGAATAGCCCAAATGTCAGCCACTATTACCTCCATTATTATTAATAAAATCAGAGTGAGGGGAGCATAGTGTACAACTAGCATCTCCTCAGAATAAATGGGAATTGTGGAAGTTGGGACAAGAAAGCCTAAGTTTAGAGCCATTCTCATTCTCTATGATTTTAAAATTGTGATAATAATAATGCCTACTTCACTGGGTGATTAGAAGGAGTAAATGCAATAATACATATAAATGTGCTTTGCAAACTACAAAAAACATATATTAGGAATTATTATTCATATGCAATTTTCAACATTTTCTGATACTGGTCCTGACAACTGATAAAAGGAATAAATAGATTCTCTAAGCTTAGAAATAGAAATTCAATTCTCATGCCTTTAATCCAGCAGCTTAATAAAGTTCAGGCCAAAGGGTGAGCCCACAGAGAGTGAGATTCTGATTAAAAGGGAGCACCCATGCTGGGCTAACTGTGTTACTGAATGACCCCATCCTTTGATTCAGCAACTGCCTACTGTTTACTTACCATATTAGCTCACATGGTCTCAGGAGATATCTTAACATTAAAGTTATTTTCAT